CTCCTCGTTGGTGACAAAAAAACTAAAATTCTTGCGCACAAGCTAATTTTGACTACTTGCAGTCCAGTGTTTGCAGCTGAGTTCTCATATCAACTGAAAATAAAAGGAGGAAATGAAATAACTCTTCCTGATATGGATCCAGAAGTTTGTGAAAAATTGTTGGAATATATTTATACTGAGAATGTAACTGGTCTTGATGAAATTGCTGAGCGTTTATATGAACAAGCCGTTAAGCATCAGCTTACAGCTCTTAAGAAACTTTGTGAAGATTCTTTTTGTAGAGGCGTGACAGTTGAAAATGCTGTTAAATATCTTGTTCTGCTGGACCGCCATCACGCTGATAAGAAATTTTTCGACAATGTTCTAAGATTCATCGCCCTTAATTCCAAAACAGTTATTAAAACTCCCGAATTTAAAGAATTAGAAAAAATAAATCCAGGGTTGTTAACAACTATAGTAACAATGATCGCCAGTGTCAAGTGAATAGCAAGGTATAGTTAAGCTTCTTCACTAATAAAATAAATATATTTACTTAGTTATTCATGGAAAAATAACTACCTACGTTTTCTATGTTTCAGATCAACACACTTATGTACATAATTTAATACCATAGCCTTGGCATATGTATATTTCATTTATTATCAATTGTTATTATGAGAAGTAGAAGTTAAAAGAAGAATTTTAATCTTTATTGTTGTTATTACAACCGTACTCACATGTTGTTATATATTTCATTATTGATTGATATTTTTGTATACTTCGAATTATGACATGTATTATCCACTTTACTTTGTTATTTTTCATCAGGTAGTGCAATCATAATAATTTTGTAATTTATACTACTAAAGAAGACATTAGATGTTTTCTAATAATTTTAATTTATTTTCTCAACAAATAATTAATTAAATTAAAAAAAAAAATTCATTTAACTACACAATAAAATTAACAATATTTTTCTAATATACTAATTAAAACAAGCTCCAGAAAATTTTTAGATGTCTGCGAGCTGATAATATTAAATTTTTTGTCGTTTTTTTTTCTATAATAATTAATTTTAAAAATTTAGAAAACTTGCTCTAATAATTTTTGTACATGCAAATTCTTTGAGTATTTTATTTATCATATATTTGTTGGAAAATCAATATTATATTTATAGTTTATAATAAAGAGAGTTTAACGTTTAATATTGTGATAATATTTCTCATTCAATTACTCACTTCAACTAACCGAAGTTTAAAAAGTATTTTTTGTAAAATAAGTTCACTTTGTATTCTCAATTTTCCAATAACCACAAACACAAAATTATAAATCATTCATGTTTTTGTATTATTCTTATTGAAAAAAAAAGTTTAGGACTTAAGTACTCTTTATTCTTGTCTGCAAACATAAATATCAAGTATATAATAAAAATTGCCTTAATGTAATCTTAATTGAAATAGTTTAAAAATAAATAAAGTTAGCAGACCATATTTTTTTTTTTTTACACAAAAAACAAATTTCTTGCGCCAAGAAAATTTTAAGGAAAACGAAAATTATTTTGGAGCAAGAAAAAATTTTCAACCTTCCTTAATATTTACGTAAGCCAAGAAAATTTACACTCTAGTCAAGAATTTTTTTTTTTCAGTGTAGCAATAATTCGCAATATTTTTCATTTTTAATTATTAAACTAATACTCACTCTACTATTGTACTTAATAATATCGCAGAGAGTGATGATTTCATTGGAATAAATAAATTTTATAAATTTGAAATCTTCAAAAAAAACTTTTTTGATTTCGGCCCATCTTTTTCATCGATAATTTACAAAATAACAAATTTACAAATACCGAAATCTTATTTTATGGAGACATCGACAAAAATC